AGCAGGGAGACCTCCCCCAGCAAACTGCCTCCTGAGAATTTGGATCCGGGGCTCCCAGAACCAGCAGTGGCTGTGTGAATGAACCAGGTAGGTCCGAAGCTTGGCTTCCGGGGCTGCCCCCTCTCCTTCTCCATGAGCCAGCTCCCCCGACCCCACTCCTGCCCAGGCTCCCCCTCATCTGCCGGAGTGTGTCCGTGACACTGTCCTCAGCAGCCTCCTGGGTGGCCCCAGACACACCCCGGAGATGTCATCTGTGTCCCCATTTCCATCGGCTGTGGAACCTAGGTCTGACCCTCCCTGGGTCTCAGGCTGCCTGTCCCGGCCTGACAGCTCTGCCTCCATGTCCCACGGGATCTCACTCAGCCCAAACAGAACTCAGCGTGTCTTCTCTCTCTTCCGGTGCCTTTTACATCCTTTATCAAAAAGACTGGCCTCTCTCTCTCCCCAGCACCCAAGTCAGGATACTTAGGCATCACCCTAGACACTCCCTTGTTCTTCACCCCCCACCTCCTTTCTAAAATAACAAGGAACAGCCACCACTTACTGAAAACATACCACAGGTAATAACTCGTCACAACTCGATGACGTAAATAAGTACTGTAATTGCCCTCACCTGACAGGTGAGAAAACAGGCACCTGGGGAGGGGGCACGCGCCCGAGGTCACGTGGTGGTGGGGTTGGGGGATGAGCCAGGCCCCTGGTATGCGGAGGTGGCCAGCTCTCTCTCAGGCCCTCCCCTCCCTCCACGGCACTGGTATGGGGGCCTCGGCATCTCCTGACTGGCCTCCTCGCCCTCGGTCTTACCCCACTCCGACCTGTTTTCCAAATGCACGTAGAAAATCCTTCTCACTGGGAATCTGGCCTCGCTCATCCACTGAAACCCCTCAAAGGCTCCCTGTTTTACACCCCCAGCCTCACAGCGAACCAATGGTGGGAGCTGAATCCTGCAGGCTGACTCAGCCGTACTCTTAGTTTACTGCCCCGCACTCCTATCTGAGCCTCAGCTTCCTCATCGTCAAAACAGGGACCACAGGACCCACTGAAAGGGCCACTGGGGTGCACAGCTCCTCATGGGAGAGGGCAACTCACACCGGAGCTTCTTCCGTGTTATAAAAAGGAAGGGGTTGGGGGGAAAGGGGAGAGGAAGAGCTGGCTGCTCTGAAAGGCAGGGAAACCCATGTGGACGATAATCATGCAGCATGCTAGCCTTCTTGACCTTCTGAGATGTAGATGCTGTGCATCTTACAGGAGGGGGAGCTGGGCCGACCGACTTGAGGCCACTTCGGACCCAGGTTTTCTGAGTGCAGAGCCCTGTGCCCTTGCCCGTGGCCACCCTATGTCCACCGTGCACCATGTGAGTTTGGAATCCCAACTCTTCAGACCTTACCGGCCGGAGATCGGCTGTGGGTCAGAGACGCGATGAGAGCTGAGCGACTGGAAGACGCTGACCCAGGGAGAGCCCGAGGTCCTCCCAGTGCGACACCTTCCTGGCCTTGGGCTTGGGAGCCTCCCGTAAACACGACAACCTAGGGCCCATCACGATTTCTACAACAATGAGAATATTTATTTTCTCCAGACGGTAAAAATAACATTTTTCTCTCTTTTGTAAAAGTACCATTACATTCCATTTTTTTAAATAACAATCCTAAAAATATATATTAAATTGTATACAGTGCATCACACTTCATCTTATATTTTAAAATACATGATGTTTCTATTTTATTCTCAAAGTTGTGTATTAAGAGCATATTTACAAATAAAGCCATGTCATCCAAAGTCAGGATCCCTGCAGGAAGGTGAGTCTGGATGTGGGCAGGTCCTGGCGCTGTGTGGACCCCTTGGTGGCAGCCCCCCAACCGTGTGCTCCTGAGGACACGTCCTTTCTGAAGCAGTAGATTGACCTCAGATTTTCCTCCACACCCCACTGCTGCCTCGTTAAATATGTTCAACTTGGCAAGACGGGAACCTGGGAGATGGGCCCCCTGGGGTCTGCATGGGGTGAGGCCCCATCCCCCGGGGCCAGCCAGCCTGAGGGGAGGCAGCTGGGCTGGAAGGTCTGAACAACACCCTGGGCCAGGGTAGCTAAGCTGAGAGCCCTGGCCAGGAGGTAGAACAGTGAGGAGGGTAAACAAAGACACCAGAGGAAAACAATCAAAAGGTTAAACATTCCCAAGGTGGTAGCAAAAGCAGACATCAAACAGCAAGGAGAAGACTGGAAACCCAAGAGGGCAGCAGTTGACCGGGCTACACAGTGGGCACCCCCCACCCCCGCCAGGCTCTGCAGGAGGCCTGGGGTGCTCATCAGACAAGGGGATGGGACCTCAGAGGCCGTCCCCCTGTAAGTGCTAGGGAAGATGAAGTGCCAGGAAGCATGGGGGCTTGGTGACAGGCTGCATGCCCTGCTGGTGTCAGGATGACCTGGCCGGACACTGAGCAGGTCAGGCCACTCCTGCCTGGGGCTGATGATGGGCCATGCGGGTGGGGCCGTGCCCACCCATGGGTTCGGCCTAAGGGCCAGGACAGCTGTGCTTGCGAGTGCTTTGATCGTTGTGTTGCGGGTTTCTGGCCAGTTGGAGTCTTGAGCCAGAGCCCACACTTCAGAAGTTACAACAACCTGGTTACCTCGCTCATGCCCAGAAAGGGGGCGCCTCACCCTTTTCTGAGGGTCACCCCTTTCCAGTCCCCTCCAACCCCCACTTTCTTGCCTCTAAAGTGGTTTCTTAGCAGATCAAGTGCTTCCGCCTTCGGTGCTCCTGGGTGTACATCTCCCCTCTTCTGGCCTCACAGGTTCCCCTCTTCTGGGACAGTTTATGCCTCCAGTGTTTACTTAGCCGCGGGGGGCCCTCTGGGGATCACGCTTACAGAGGTCAGCCTGGGACAATTTATGGCCCTCTCCCCCCATGCTGTCCTGAGGCCGGTTTGGGATTCCTGGGGCTGCTCCCGGGATGGTAAGTGGGTCCCAGGGTGCTGGGCTGTGCATGGGGTGGCAAGAAGGACAACACTGGGGTCACAGCCCTTCTGGGATCTCTGAAAAAGGGCTGCTCCAGGTGCTCAGACACACCATGACCTGAAGTCACGAAATGTGAAGAGGGCGGGTGGGCCCACAGGAGGCACCAAGGCCAGTGATCAGAGGGAGCCCACAGCTGCGAGCAACTGCCCCTGGCCGGGTGGACACCTCCCAGGTGGGAGTCCACATTCCCTCTGTGCTGCGCAGACCTATTCACAGCACAGGGCCCTCTGTGACTGCACACACCTGACACTTGTGTTTGAGAGGAGATTCCATAAAGGCCAGGAATAACTTGGAGGGGAGACTGCACACGTCAGTATATTCCAGTGGTCCTTGCACTTGGCAGGCCTGTCTCCAGACCCTGGGGCCGGCAGACAGCTGCTCAGGGTAACCGCCCTTTCCAGATCAAAGCCTCACCCGGTGCCTGGGGCAGCGCCCCCGCTCTCCCGTGGACGTGGCGTTTCCCCCTCCAAACGCCCCTGGCCCACCCTGCCAGCTCCCAGCGTCTCTCCTGGTTGCTGGTGTCGCCTCCCAGCTGGCCCCACGCGGCCCTCTGTCTTTCTGGGAGCTGGGTGCAGACGCCTGCCGGTGTGGCAGACCCCTAGGGAAGGCCACAGCAGGCAGTAGCTCAGGGGCTCAGCGAGGGGGGCAAAGTGCCCCAAACAAGGAACCCGTGAGGCCAGAGGCACAACGAGGCCCAAGGCTCAAGTGCCTGCGGGAGAGACACACTCCAACAGAGGGCAGGCCCGGCCTTCGGGGTCCCAGGTGCTCCTCCCGGCTGCTGTAGATGAGGCTGCTCTTGGACGGTCGGCGGGGCTTCTGGACGGGATGGCACGGACTCCCACCGCCCGCGGCCGCTGCAGCTGCAGCTCTCAACCTTCGGAGCCCTTTCCTCAGTGGGGCTCCCGTTCCCACACCCTCCCTCCCCACTCCGCATGCCACTCTCTGCGGCTCCCCTCCCCTTCTGGGGGGCAGAGGGTGTGGGAGTAGGGACAAGAGGCCTCTCCTTCCCCACTGAGCCATTCCGAAGCCCACCCTGTCCCCATAAGAAGAGGCATGGAGGCCGCAGAGAGCACAGGTCATGGGAAATTTTTCATCCTCTTTTAAAATAAGGGACACTTAAAGGAGGGACTGCTGGCACCCTGTGTCACACGTTGCTTCCTGGATGCTCAACCATGTTTACACTCCCTGTTCTGAACTGATAGTCAGCTTAGGAATCCCGAGACAGGGCCTGGCTCAGGCTCCACAGGACGAGCAGCTTGGGGGAGAGGTCACCAAATCCAGCCCAACAAGGAGCTACTGAGCACCTAGAAAAGCTTTCGGTAAAGTCTACTGCATGAATAAATGAATGGATGTTTCCTATGACCACCCCTCAAACTTGTCTGCTGGTCACCAAGCTGCAGAAGAAGCCATAGAAAGAAGCCCATGGGTGAAGGTGTCAGGTTTGACATGACAGGCCCTCCCAGGCTGGAGGCAGCCCATTCTCTCCCGGAGCCCACGGAGCAAAGCCCCAGAGTCAGCACAGAGCGTGGGTTTCTGTCATGCTTTGGGGGGCCAACCCCCAGGACAGCCTCAGAACTCTCTCTGCCTAGCCTGTTCCAAACCATAAAGACCAGGAGAAAGCGATGTGTGTGTGGACAAAACTGAGAAGAAGCACTACCTACCCACTACCTGACAGTCGTCTAGAACGTACCTGAGCCCAGGGCTGGACACAACCATCTCTGTCATCTCAGCCCCACTGTCCCGACACCCTGTTCCTAGATCAGAGAGAGAGAGAGATGCAGGAGGCACGGACCGTGGGACCATGAGTCTCTCTCCTAAGTGCAGTGATGAAGCAGGTCCAATCCAGGCTATGCTGCCCCTGTGGTCGGTGCCCCAGAAGAGGCCGAGGGAGAGGCAGGAAGAGTCAGTCAAAGGAAACCACAGGAGAAGTGGTCCCCAGGGGCCTCGAGCTCAGAGGGATCTCATGTCCTGGGCATGGAGAGGGGAGGTTTTAGTCACTCACAAGAGGATTACGGTCATCTTGTTGACTCTGACCCTTGAGCTTCTTCTTAAAGATGGAAATCGAAGTAGAAGGCTTATAAAAAATGCTCCAGATTTCCCCCGACGTCCCTGGTTGACGACAGTCCCTAAGGTCCCCTAAGGCAGGAACACGATGGGATCTGTCGAACAAAAATAACTTAATTTTTCAAGTAGAATAGAACAAAGCGTCCGAAAGAACCTACCATCTCATGAGATACCTGCACCTATAAAATGGGACATTCGGTGAGGCGAGGCCTCAGGAAACCTCATAGCTGCCTTTAGAGACCCGAGGGACTGCCATCTGGATGACCTGCGCCCTGTGGGATGGCAGTGCAGTGAGGCAGGTTCCAGCTCAGTGTAATGAAGAACCTTCTAGCTGGAAGGATTATTCAAATCTGGAAAGGGCTGGCCTGAGAGATTACGAGTTTTCAAAATACTTCTTTCTTTTTAAGCAGAAGAACTCTTTTCAAATGACACTTATTCGGAAGCCCACCTAGCTAAACAGGTGAAGGCAAGCCTGCTCTTCTTGGACTGGGACCTGCCTTTCTGCCCACACCTGCCCTGCCCCCATGCCAGCCCCTGGCACTGCTTGACAGGGAAGCTGCAGAGGGGCTCGGTGTCAGACGAAAGTCAGACACGGGCTTTGGGGCCTCAGCATGCAGTGAAGTGCTGGACCCTAGAGAGAGTGTCCTGCGCTCTCCCTGCTGTGGGGGACACGCAGACAGGACTGTGCCTGAGAGGCTTCCCCAGAATGTGTGAACTGGGACTTAAAAAAAAAAAAGAGAAACACAGATATAGAAGCCCAGTAGACAATAACAAGGACATTGTTTCCACTGAAAAATGTAAAGTGCAGGGTGGAAAGGCCTATGGGTGGTGCCAAAGAGGCCAAGGGCAGCCTTTACAGGGCAATGGAGGAGACGGCATTTAATATACAAAGAAGTCTGTGGCAGAGAGCAAGCCAGAAAGTCAGGGAAAAGGTAGCTTTTACAGGACACCAATGCTCAGGAAGGCCTTGAAATGGAGAGAGCCCTTATGTCGATTATATCTCAGTAAAACTGAGAAAAAAGTTTTACTGAGGAAAAGAAAAGAAATGGAGAGAGCCTGGACTGGGAACCACAGGAAAGACAGAGCAGAGGGCTAAGAAAATTAGCAGCCCCCTCTGTAGGCACACAAACATCAGTGCATGAACAATCACCCCTTTCCTGGAAGGCAGAACAGTTAAACCTGAACAGCGGAAGTAAGGGAGGAAATATTTTTTTCCAAATTGGTTGGAACTGAAGGATGAAGCTTTTAAAAGCTTCTTAAATAATTGTTTTTAAATAATTATTAAGCAATAGTTAATAAAATGTTGGAATTCTCTTCCTAAGAATGTCTCACAGTTTCTAGAAGGCATCAGGAAATATGCCTGGTATTGTCCTAGGAATCTTTGCTCTTATGTAAAGATCTCTTCAGGGGGCCAGCACAAGCCAAAAAATGGAAATTGTCCTGTTTTATGCCCAGACTATTTCAATCCTCCTTGAAATTGTATCCTTTAGACCCAGGAGCACACACACAATCCCTCAAACCTAATGAGATTTGTCCAGTTGTACATTTCACTCTACAGAGAATGAGGAATGTCTATGGCCTCATGCTGCCCAGCACTGAGCGCTTTGGAATCATGTTCCGATATTACAAGTGTTCTCAGACAACTGAAGCGTAGTAGAAAAGGAGCCCTAAGCCTTCCCCTCCTGGAGTCGGATGGCTCTCATACTCACTTGAAAGTGATGTGCAGAAGCATCTTTGCTATGACAGCTGTGACCGTAAGGATAAGGAGCGTTGCCAGGCCATACACTGTCCATCCTGCAAGTGCAAAAGACAGGAGTGATCGCACTGTGTTGTGTGAGCTCACTTTTCAGAAGGAGGTCTGAGTGAGCCCTGGTGGCTCAGAGAAGCAGGCCTGGCTGAGGAGCTCTCTGCAGGTGGGGGTAGCCATGCAACGCAGCTCGAGCTGGGCTGGCCCGGAGTCCCAGACCTTCTGAGCACCTCGACTTGCTCTAGACTCCCTCCTGGAGAGAGGCAGGCAGTGTGGTCCAAAGCACACTCAACTTGGAGTTGAAAGGAGTGGTGCACATTCTGTCTCTACCACTGGCATCACTGTGCGACCACAGACGAATTACATAAACTCTCTGGGCCTCATTTCCTCATCTGAGGAATGGGATGTGTGACTTGTGAAATCCTACAGATACACAAACAATAGGATACACAGGAAGGGGCTCTCCTCCCTGACTTCCTACTGTGAGTCTTGCAGGGGAAAACCTCTAGTCCAGGGAATTGCGAATGGTATCTGCAGCTCTACCAGCTTGTAAAGGCTCCAACTTCCTTGGCAGAAAAGAGAGAATCACAGTCCGTACCCGACCAAGTTAGCCAGCTTGAACCATAAGATCACCACCCTCTCTCCACCTGTCTCCTGCAGGACCTGCCTTCACAGCTCTGGTGACTATCTGACTCTTCTTTTGTTTTTTGTCTTTCTCCTTCCACGTGTCAGCCACAGGAGGGCAGGGATTTTGTGTGGTTCGCTGTACAATCCCGTGCCTAAGACAGAGCCTGACACCATTAACGCACTTACACATCTTCCGAATGACTGAATAAACACAGCTCTGGCAACTGCCGATGCACTCAGAGAGCTACAACTTGGGGCCGCAGGAAACACTGGGTTAGCTGATTAATCACCACATACTAAAGGCAGCCGTGTTGGATGTTGGAGGTAAGGACTACGGAATCAAGCTAAAGAGAAAATGTCCCTCCAAGGCCAGGACAAACAGAGTCATGGAGCCAGGACCCCCAGCCCGCCTCGGAAAGAGAAACACCTGAGAGAGCTCTGGTTCTGTAACCGCCAAGGGCACTACCCCCAAGCTCTGTGGCTCCCACCCCTTTGATGGTGTCTGGGAACTGCTACCTGGCACGGTCTGGGGTGGGTGGCTGGGGCTGGTGGTGATGACGTAGAGGACTTTGGAGGACCGGGCAGCGCTGACACTGAGGTTGGCCTGCTCCGTGAACACCTCAGCCAGCGTCTGGTTGGCAGTGGGCCTCTCCTGTGGCGGGTCTTCCTTGACGGCTGGAAGATCAAAAGGAATTAGCTGGGGGAAAGCTGGTGGAGACAACGAAGAGGAGGAGGCACTGGTTATGAAGAGAAGGGAGTTTTCTATGGTTCAGTGCTGGGGGCAATTCTTGGCCCCGCTGGCCCCAAAGCAGAACCTGCCAGGCTCTGGCTCCGAAGGAGCCATTTGACGTGTCTCTGCATGGGTCCCTGAACGTGCTTTAGGGTTTTCCTGCCCTTGTGCCTCTGCAGCTATGGTCCCTCTGCCCCGAAGGCCCTCTTCCTTCCTATCTGTCTGCCCCAATTCTACCTGTTCTTTCAGCCTGTCCCACCCGTGAGGAGGTCTCCTCCTCCTTCCTGTAGCCGCACACTGACTGAACTCTTCTTGAGGCCCTTGACGTCCAGGACAGAGACTAGGTCATGGACACCTGCTGTGTTCTCATGTGCGGGCAAGGAGTTGTGCCTAGCACACGTGTGTTCACATTACAGGGGCAGGAGTGCAGCCCCATGTTAGGAGGGTCTGAAGATGGTAAACCAGGCTTTGGGGATTGGCTAGGATGTTCAGAGGCAGGAGGATGGAGCAAATAACCTCTCTGGAACCTTCTGATTCTGCCAATCTCAGCTCTTTCTTTTAGTTAGTCTTTTAACTCTCCCATGAAAACTATCATGAGAACGACTAAGACAGCAGAACTTACAGGTGGCACCTCGTTTCTGTATCATGAAGTCGGTACAAGTTATAAAATAGGAGGCGGGAAAACCTGCAAGTTGAGTGGGCAGATCCTGACGTACAGTCCTTCCGGAGAAGCACCCGAGGCCCACACGTCACAATGAGGTTCAAGGGAAGCCCAAGGAGGCCGGGGTCTTACCTTGGTACAAGACAGCAAATCCCTGGGCCTGACTGACGCGATCAGAGAAGAAATACAAGATGACAAAGTCCAGAGAGATGTTAAAGGACAAAGGTGGGCGGTTCCTCCCGTTGAAACGGACCAGGACGCGGTGGGTGTAGCCGTCCAGCAGCTCCACCATGTCTGCGGAATCCCGGATGTCAAACAAGGCAAAGTTGAAGTAGATGTGGGAGGCTCCCGGGACCCGGATGGTCCAGTAGCAGACCCTCCCTGTGGCGTATGCGTCGGGAAAGTCGGGGGAATAGACCACGGAAGTCATGGCCGAGTAATTCCCACCACAGGCACCGACCAGAGCTGCAGGAGACAAAAGGACACCAGCCCTCAGGCTGGGGCTCAGCCACAGGGCTCACTTTTCAACCTGTTACAAACAAAACTTCCTAGCTGATGGGATCCAGTTTGGGATGTTGTTTTTTGTCTGCAAAACCAGACTGTCTCATGTTTCAGGATTGAATCACAGAATGAATCGCTTAAACCCTGAACAAATGACTGGAGGCTTTTTTTTTCCCCCAGGAGACCTTAAAGTTAGCACACAGCACAGCAGTGCGGCCCCAGCGGGGGCCAGGCTGGAGTCAGAGAGTCTGGGTTCGGAACCAGCTGGGCCATTGATCCCAGGGGCCATACTTCACATCCAGACCTCTAGCTTCTCACAGCTCTGAGGGTGGAGAGACCACCACCTACCTGCTCTCGTATCACATAAATGTGTGAGGACAGATGAGACAAAGCACATGAAAACACAGGACCTCTCTGCAGGGGGCACTGATGAGGTAAGATCGTAAAAAGCCGAGGGCATCCCAAGTACCTTAGGGATGCGAGGTTCATCTGGGGGGCCACACTTGTTTTTCAAGTGGGAAACTGTGGCACAAGAAATGACTTTCTGCAGAGGGGAAGCTCACTGATCACTCTGCAGCAGCACATTTGATGTCTCTGGACTCCCAGTTCTGAGTGGCAGGCTCTGAGTGGCAGATACACTTCACTGTATCTTATGTGCTGAACTGCAAATAAGATCCTGGAAATGAAAGTCCTCAAGAGGGAGGGGAGGGCCGGGATTTAAAAAGCAGGCTTTGGGGGAGTTCTGCTTCCCTTTAGGATGTAGAAAGCTGCTTTCATCCTAACAATGAGAAAAAGCTCAGAACTTTTCGTCAATGCATTAGAAAGCTGAGGTCTCAAGACAACCAAGGCAATTTAATTCTAAAAAGTAAGAAGCTCCTCTGAGGAGAGTCAGGCCACACAAAGTGTTTCATCGTTGACAGAGCACAAGAGGAAGAGGGGGTTGCCATGAAAGTAAGAAGAAAGCAGCTAAAATTTTAACAAATTTCTAAAGGCTGAATGTGGGCTAGCCTCTCAGTCCAGGATGCCGGGGGACGCCAGACACAATAGGAGTCTGCACTCACTTGCAAGCAATTCTGTGCAGGCCTCCACCCAGGGCCCACGAGAATGACCAGGGTAGGGGCAGGGTCCCCATTGGTGGCACCAGTGAGCAGGAGGTGACGGGTAGGAGGTGATGAGCCACTGCTGGGGGACAGGCCTGAAACCCTGCCCTCTTCCAGGACCCTCCTCTCAAAGGAAACAAAAGCCTTAAGCTGCAAGGGGAGGGGCAGCAAACCCTCCTGCTCCCAGGGCCAGCGCAGAAGCCCCTGGGGAGGGAGCAGGAGACTCTCTTGTTCCTGTCAAAGTAACCAGGCAAAGACTCATTGCTTCTGGGGGAAGAGTAGAGGCAAAAGCCATCAGCCCCTGGTTGCCTTGAGCCCCAGGATCCTGCACCAATGCAAAGCAGAGGTCTGCTACCCAATGGAGGGGCAGGAGACCCTCTTCTTCCCGGAAGCCTCCACAGATACAAGGCAGTGCTCGGCTGCCGGGAGAGGGGTATTTGGGGATGCTGGAAAGACCCCATCCCTGAGGCCCAGTGACACGACATGTCTGAGATGGAGGATGGGGCAGGAGAACCAAGAACCCCCAACCACACCATGAGCACAGCGCCAAGTAACAAGCAGCAGAAGTCTACCATCAAGGGAGGGGAAAGGTCACGGGCAAGGAGGAACTGCTCAAAGTTGAGGGTGGAATGGGAACAATGAAAAAACCCCACTGGCATCCCAGGCTCCACATTGAGCACGAGGTAACAGCAGCCATCATGGGAGGAATCTGAACGTTGACATGCACTGCAGGTGATGATAGGAACGGGGAAACCCAAACCCAGCTCGACCACTGATAGAATGGCTCAATCAATCCTCACACCGAGCAGGCCTGCCCATTTCCAGGTGTAAATACACTTCCTCAGCCTCTACTATCCTTCTTCGTATAGTGTACGGTATTCAACACAATATTACAACACACAAAACATAAAAGCAAGCAAGCAAGAAAGAAAGGAAAATAAAAGACAGTGTCAGGACTTCCCTGGTAGTGCAATAGTTAAGAATCCGCCTGCCAATGCAAGGGACACGGGTTCAATCCCTGGTCAGGGAAGATCCCACATGCCGCAAAGCAACTAAGCCCGTGTGCCACAGCTACTGAGCTAGCGCTCTAGAGCTTGCAAGCCACTACTGAGCCTGTGTGCCACAATCACTGAAGCCCGTGTGCCTAGAGCCCGTGCTCCACAACAAGAGAAGCCAGCGCAATGAGAAGCCCACATGCCGCAACGAAGACCCAAAGCAGCCAAAAATAAATTAATTAATTAATTTATATTAAAAAAATACACTGTCAAGAGATAAAACATCTGGTAATCATTTCACAATATATATACATATTGAGTGATTATGTTGTACACCTAAAACTAATACAGTGTTATACGTCAATTACATCTCAATTTTTAAAAAAGGAGATAAAACAATCCACAGAACCAGACTCAATAATGACCCAGACATTAGAACTACCAGACAGAAAATATCTAGGGGAAAAGATGGACAACATGCTTGAACAGATTGGAAATTTCAGCAGAGATATGGAAACTACAAAAAAGAGTCAGATGTAAATTTTAGAAATAAAACAATATTAGAGATGAAGATTTCCTTTGATGGGCTTAGAAACAGATTACACACACTGAGGAAAGAATCAACACGCTCGAAAATAGGTCAGTAGAAATTATCCAAAATGAAACACAGAGAAAAAAATAAATGAAAAAAGCAGAACACAGCTTCCAACGGCTGGGGCACAATATCAAACGGTCTAACAATATATAATTGGAGTCCCAGAAAGAGAAGAAAAAGAGAATAAGATAGGAGAAATAGTTGAAGAGATAATGGCTAAGAATGCTCCAAAGTTGATGAAAGGTTATTTAAGAATCTCAGCAATCTTCAGGCAAATAAAACAGAAATTTAAAAAACAAAAGGAATTCCCAGGTTAGGACTTGGCGCTTTCACTGTTGAGTGCCCAGGTTCCATCCCTGGTGGGGGAACAAAGATCCCACATGCCATGTGGCATGGCCAAAAAAAAAAAAAAGAAGGTGAAATAAGGCCTTCTCAAACAAAAGCTGAGAGAAGCCATTGACAGCAGACCTGCATTAGAGAAAATGCTATAGGAACTTCTTTAGGTCGAAAGAATATGATACCAGATGGCAAATAAGAACATGAAAAGATGTTCAACATCATTAGAAATTATGGAAATGCAAAGTAAAACCATGAGTCACCACGACACACACGACAGAATGGTTAACATTAAAAAAGAGACAATACAAAAGTACAGGTGAGGATGAGGAGCAACTGGAAATCTTATATCTTGTCAGCCAGAGTGCAAAATGGTATAACCACTTCAAAAATCAGCTGGCAGTGTCTTATAAATGCTGAATATGCACTTAGTGTATGGCCCAGAAATGCTGTAACTCCTAGGTACTCACCCAAAAGAAATACAAACACATGCTCACACAAACACCTGTACATGTGTGTGTACAGCAGCTGTACAGCATCTTTATCATAGACTGATGTTTATCAATTGGTAAATGATGAATGAGTTGTGATACATTTGTACAAAGGCATGTTTCTTAGCAATAAAAGGAACTACTGAAACAACAAAAATGAATCTCAAAAGTATTTTTCTAAGTGAAAGAAGCCAGACGCAAATGTTTAAGTACTGTATAATTCCATTTATATGACTTTGTTCAGAACACAAAACCATACAGATGGAACACGGGATCAGTGGCTGCTGAGGGCTGGGGGTGGTGACCACAAAGGGGCACAAGAGAGCTTTCTGAGGTGACAAAAATGTCCTATATTTCGACTGTGTACATATTTGTCAAATCTTACTGGACTATGCAACTAAAAGGGTGACTTTACTGTATGTAATTTCACCTCAATAAACCTAAATTTAAAAACTAAAGATTCCTGGGTTCTAATCTTGACTTTACCATGTACTATGAATTTGAGCAAGATACTTATCTTCTGTACACCTCAGTTTCCTCATCTATAAAATGAAATTAGTAATAGTTTCTCCCTCATGAGGTTATAAGAATCAAAATGAGTTGATGCATGTAGTGTTTAGTATGAGATCTGGCACAGAGTACAAGCTCAGTTGCGTCTTAGTTATTTTATTATTATTATTATTATTTGAAAAGAAAAAAGTGTCCAGGTTAAACTGATGTTTCAAGAGCAAAAGCAGACAAACTCAGAAATTTCGATTCCTAGATGCGTGCCATGCTGACGGTACATCCAATTCAGCAATTTTGAGAATAAGCACATGACATCTGTGATGGATTATTAAAGCTCAGTGATAATTCAGGAAAAAAGGAAACTTACATTTCGGATAATAAGGAAACTTAAAACTTACGAATATATTCAACATCTTATTTTTTGAAGGGGACATTGACCTGACACACAACCTAGGATGTGTCTTTCAGTCCGTGCATGTCATTGTTTAATTGGAAGCATTTTTTCCCCTTCAGTGGCATATAAAATAATGTTGCATCTCACAACTGATGGCATCTTGGAATCTATGAAATACAATTACTAATACAGTCCCAGCTGTCAGATCCTACATGTCCTTAGGCCCTCAATCTTTTTCACCATTAATCTCTTCCCTTCCCACCAAAATGTAAGTTCCATGAGGGCAGGATCTCTATCTGTGGGACTCTGGGCAAGTTACTAAACTTTTATGAGCCTCAGTTTTCTTGTGGGGCAAGTAAAGATAACAGTACCTGCTTCACAGTATTATGAGAATTAAGGGAGAGAATGCCTGGGAAATGGATAGCACAGTGCCCTGTAAATATAAGTGCTCCACTAATGTTACCAAGTAAGACCCAACCTATATGACTTACTTCTCCCTTCAGTGCCTAGAAGCTGAGGGAGGCCAAGAGGGCTGCTTGGGCAGTCCCTGTGACCTGTTGCTGACGCCAGCCTATCTGATCTTCTGTTTGGTTCTGTTAATTCAGTACATTTAACTCTGGGGGCAGCAGAGGCTCTGAAGCCTTCATCAGCGCCACTTTTACACACAGAACACAACCTACTTCAGCAACCTCCCTAAGCTCATGAGAGCCTGCTGGAAAATCAGTCACAGAGCCTGTGACAAATCACTGGATGTGGCAACAACCACTGAGCAGACAGCTTCCGCCTGCTGCCTGAGTAGTCTCTCTCCCGAGGCTGTTGTTCTGAGACACAGAGATTGCAACCTGGTCCCTTTCTCACGTCTAACTCTCCTCCAATCTCTTTGGAGAGGCACGTCTGCCCACCCAAATTACGGGATAGTCTGCAGTCACCATCTCTGAAATGCTCAGCCTCATCCAGTGGATCATAAGGATCTCCATGAGGCAGTACTTAGCTCTTTAAACTATTTTACCCCTAACAGATGAAACTTTACAGATTATTTCTACAGTGCTGCATTTTGTACCTTTCTTTACAAAGCTGTGGGGTATGAATTATGAGTTGGCTGCTGTCAGGGGCCCCTGCCAGTCAACACACGTCGAGGCCTCTGAAGACTGGAATAGGCAGCCTCTCAGTGCCATTCTTTTTAGTCCGCGAGGGCATGGAAGCCAGAGGGGGCAGTTAGAGACCTGCGGAAAGGGCCAGTTTGACCCGCAGGCCTCTCACTGTTGTGGCCTCTCCCGTTGCTGAGCACAGGCTCCGGACGCGCAGGCTCAACGGCCATGGCTCACGGGCCCAGCCGCTCTGCGGCATGTGGGATCTTCCCAGACCGGGGCACAAACCCGTGTCCTCTGCATCGGCAGGCGGACTCTCAACCACTGCGCCACCAGGGAAGCCCTGTTCACATACTTTTAAAGCATTAAACTGGATCTGGTATTATGATCTATCTTGTTATTGTTAATAAAAGGGATTTTTAGTTGCTGAAAATAGAAAAATAAAAAATTGTGGCAAACCTGAGTTTGAATCCTGGCTCTGGCACTTATTAGCTTGGACAAATTATTTAATCTTTTGATCCACAGCTTCCTTATCAACTGGGCTGTTGCAAGGATTAAATAACAAAATAAACAAGTGCCCCAGCATCAAGTCTAGCATGAAGCAAGCACTCAATAGAGAGCAATTATTTTCATCGTAATTAATTTGTCTTAGGGCACTTTTGTGTGAGGCCCAGTGCTAACTCCTAGATATATTTCTAGTACCGAAGATGATACTTGGTACAAAGATGACTGACTTTAAACCAAATTATTTCCATTTGACGCTCCAGTAGAGGCACTGTGCAAATAAAACATAATTTATCTGCCACACTGAAGATACCCAATAAAAATGTTCTAGATGAATGAAAGAGTATCAGATAAAAACTACACTTATTTTTATTGATATGAAATTCACCATTTTAACCATTTAAAAGAGTACAATTCAGTGGTATTTAGTTTTGTCACAATGCTGGGCATCCACTGCTACTATCTAATTCCAGGATATTTTCATCACCCCAAAAAGAAAACCCATACCTCCTAAGCAATCACTTCTCATTCCTCCCCTTTCCCCAGCCCTTGGCAACCATTAATCTGTTTTTTGTCTGTATGGATTTGCCTATTCTGGGCATTTCTTATCAATGGAATCATTAAATATGCGTCCTTGGGCTTCCCTGGTGGCGCAGTGGTTGAGAGTCCACCTGCCAATGCAGGGGACACGGGTTCGAGCCCTGGTCTGGGAGGATCCCACATACCGCGGAGCAACTAGCCCCGTGAGCCATAATTACTGAGCCTGCGCGTCTGGAGCCTGTGCTCTGCAACAGGAGAGGCCGAGATAGTGAGAGGCCCACGCACCGTGATGAGGAGTGGCCCCCACTTGCCGCAACTGGAGAAAGCCCTCGCACAGAAACGAAGACCCAACACAGCCATAAATAAATAAATAAAATTAAAAAAAAAAAAATATGCGCCCCGTGTGTCTGGTTTCTTTCACCGAGCATCATGTTTTCAAGGTTCCTCATGTTGTGGCAGGGGTCAGTAATTCATTTCTTTTGGGGGCTAAATAATATTCCATTGTATGGACACACCACATTTTGTTCATCCATTCGTCAGTTGATGGACATCTGGGTGGTTGCTACTTTTTGGCTGTTACGAATAATGCTGCTATGAACATTCATGTACAAGCTTTTGTGTGAACATATGTTTTCAGCTCTCTCAGGTATATACTTAGGAGTGGAATTACTGGGTCATAAAATGATTCTGTTTCACGTTTTGAGGAACTGCCAGACTGCTTCAAAGGAGCTGCACCATTAACATTTATACCAACAACGTACAGGGTTTCAATTTCTCCATATTCTCACAAACACTTATTTTCCATTAAAAAAAATTAACACTGTATTCTGTTTAAAGTAGAAAAACAGGTAGTGAACCCACACACCCTGCTTCTGTTTACTGTCTATGCCCACGGCTTGTTGGTGGTGTGAGTCCTGGCAAGTTATTTATCCTCTCCACAACCTAGGACTCTCTTCTGTAAAATGAGAGGGATAATAATAATGCCTACCTCAGATGGCTGCCAGGAGGGCCCAACGTGACAATTCTTATAAAGCCTTACATACTAGGGACTCCGTATTTTTCTCCTTATTTTTTTTACTTAAGAGTATACCAGGCACTCTGTAAGGTCAGCCAACATATTCTCCTGGGTTGGGGTGTTGAGGCAGAGGATTTTATAACAATGAACTCTGGAGATGAAAGGCTAAATGGACGTGCAGCACATATTATTTGCCAACTATTCTCCCTTAAACATTAGCTAAGGTGCAGCCTTTAACAGAGGTACTAACACTGAGCAAAACAGGATGTATAGGAAGCCACTGGCAGTCTCCAATGGGCACACAACTAAAAAGACCAAAAATTAACCATGTGAGTTCTGCTCGCCAATCCACCCACTGTCCTCCCGTCACAAAAAAACACATTTTTGACAGTGTCTGAGCTGTAACCTGTGAAAGCATCAGTTACAAACTCGGGCTGGGTTTTACAGACACCATATGTAGTGGCTGAATCATGTCCTCCAAAAAGATATGTTTAAGTCCTAATGCCTGGTGTCTGTGATGGTGACCTTATTTGAAAACAGGGTCTTTACAGATGTTATCAAGTTAACTGAGGCTGTACTAGATTAGGGTAGGCCTAATCCAATGACTAGTGTCCTTGTAAGGAGGCACAGAGGGAAGTCAGTCACGTAAAGAAGACAGAGACCGGAGTGATGCAGCTACAAGTCAAGGAATGCTGAAGACTGCCAGCAATGACCGGAAAGTAGGAAGAGGCAAAGGAAGATTCTTCCCTGGAGCCTTCATAGGGAACATGGCCCTGACAACACCTTGATTTTGGACTTCTAGGCTCCCAAACTATGAGAGAAGAAATTTCTGTTGTTTGAAGCCACCCAGTTGGTGATAATTTGCTATGGCAGCAGCCCCAGGACACTGACGCACCACATGACATTCTGGCTTAAAACTGAGCCACTCAGCCTAGTCAAGATGTCAGCATCTAATCTAGCCTGGGGACTAACAACACTGTAGACTCTACAGTGTATCTCAGTAAGCTCAAGCCTTTCCCTTCGTCTGCCTCATCTGTGACTATCTCCTTTCTGCCATCTTAAAATCTGGCGCTGCACTGGTACGAAGTTGCAAAGTCTCATTACCACCGCGTAGATGTGGGTGGATTACGGGGGATCAAGTGGGCCAGCGGTTGAAAAGGTCAAGGCCCCAGGCCATACCCCATTTAGATGCTCTGCCCTGGCCAGCATCTCATGGAGTGGCGGGTCAGGGAGGAGACGGGCGGGTCAGGGCACACTCAGTACCAGGCCTGGAAAGACAACTCGAAGCTTTGCATCTCTTCTCTGCTCTATCACGGTAAGATATAAATCTCAGATACCTCAGAAAACACTAAAAGGGCTTGCAAATTACATTAAACAAGAGGATCTTAAAGCTGATACTGAACCATTACATCAGTGTCCCTATTATCTTTTCTAGGTTGTCTGAGCATCTCAAAATAGGCCAGGGCACAACTGTAAGTAATTACTTGTTAAACGTTGTGTTCCCTTCTAGAGTCTTCTGGTTCAGTGCTGTACCCCCCAGGGTCTGGTCAGTGCCTGCCTGGCCTGCAGTAGGTGCTTAATAAGTATTGCCAAGTGAATGAATGGATAATGGGGAGGGAGGAAGCAGGGGCAGGCCGGTTCCCCTGGCCCAGGGTTCCCGTGCCTTGGACAGTGCCAGGCACAGGGCATACTCACTGTCAAAGATGATGATCCTGCCATCGCCCCCACAGGGCTGGGTGTGATCCCCGAAGCAGACGCTGTTGCACTCAGTACTGGCTGCCTCCCCGTACTTCCAGTAATCAGGACTGTTTCCACAGAAGCAAGCATAGCCTGACTCCATCCCGGCAAACTGCCATGACAGAGAAGCAGCACTTGGTAAGCGTCAGTCAGGGGTGTCGGTGGCCTGAAGGAGCCTGGCAGGTTCGGCCCCCAGCAAGCAAGCACTTCATCTTCCCAGCCCATGTTCCCCAGGGACCTCTGCCTCATCCCACCCTCACCACACTTCATTACATGCGGACTGGTAACTACGCACCACCACGGTGCTTCCCCTTCAGTAAGCATCCCTTATTAATGTTTGCATTTCTACTGTATTTAAGTAAGTTAAAGGCAGGGGGGAATCTCATTAACTTGAAACATTAATAATAATAACAGCTAAACATTTTATTGAATGTTTACTATGTGCCAGGTGGTAAATGCTTTAAAGTTAGTACTCACAGAAAACTTACTTTAGGCCCCACTTAACATTTTTATTTTTTATATTACCATACAGTACGACTATTTATATGGTACACAGTCCTATGAATTTTAACCCATGTATAGATTTGTACACCCACCATTACAATCAGGATACAGAACAGGTGCATCACCCTAGGAACCTTCCTTGTGCTATCGCTTTATATAATAGTTCTCCCTCTAGAACATCTGGCAACCACTAATTAGTTTTCTACACTATAGTTTTATCTTTTCGAGTATGTCATACGCTATAGACTGAATGCCCGTGTCCCCCCCAACCCCCGAAATTTGTATGTTGAAAGCTAATTCCCAATGTGATGGTACTTAGTGGTGAGACCTCTGGGAAGTGAGGGCTTGCTCTCATGAATGGGGTTAGAGCCTTTATAAAAGAGACCCCCTTGCCCCTTCTGCCATGTGAGGACACAGTGAGAAGATGGCCATCTATGAACCAGGAAACGGGCCATCACCAGACACCAAATCTGCCAAAGCCTTGATCTTGGACTTCTCAGCCTTTAGAACCATGAGAAATGAATGCTTGGTTTAAGCCAACCATTTTGTAACAGCAGCCAGAATGGACTAAGACATTGTATACTGTACATGGAATCATACAGTATGTTATGTTTTGAGAGTGGCTTCTTTCACTCAGCATAATGTCTCTGAGGTTCATCCAAATTGATGCATGTATTTTATAATTTGCTGAGCAGTATAGTCTGTTATATGAATGTACCACAGTTTGTTAATCCATTGGGTTGTTTTTAGTTTTTCATAATTATAAAATAGAGCTGCTATAAACATTTGTGTAGATTTTTGTGTGAACATAAGTTTTCCTTTCTCTAGGGTAAATACCTAGAAATGACATTTTTGGGTTGTAATTTCTCTACAACCTCACTAACACTTGCTTTTGTCGTTTAAAAAAAATTACAGCTGTCCTAGGTTATTTATTATATGAAGTGGTATCTCATTGGTTTTGATTTGCATTTCCCTAAAGACTAGTAATATTCAGCATCTTTTCATGTGCTTATTGGCCATTTGTACATCTTCTATGGAGAAATGTCTATTCAAATCCTTTGCTCATCAGGGCTTCCCTGGTGGCCCAGGGGTTAAGAATCCACCTGCCAATGCAGGGGACAAGGGTTTGAGCCTTGGCCTGGGAAGATCCCACATGCCTGGAGCAACTAAGCCCATGAGCCACAACTACTGAGCCTGCGCTCTACAGCCTGTGAGCCACAACTACTGAGCCTGCGTGCCACAACTACTGAAGCCTGCATGCCTAGAGCCCATGCTCCACAACACGAGAAGCCACCACAATAAGAAGACTGTGCACCGCAACGACGAGTAGCCCCCGCTAGCCACAACTATGCCGTGGAGCAACTAAGCCCATGCACCACAACTACTGAGCCTGCACTCTACAGCCTGAGAGCCACAACTACTGAGCCCACATGCCACAACTATTGAAGCCCGCATGCCTAAAGCCCATGCTCCACAACAAGAGAAGCCACCACAATGGGAAGCCTGTGCACCGGCAACAAAGAGTAGCCCCCGTTAGCCACAACTAGAGAAAGCCCAATGCGCAGCAACAAAGACCCAATGCAGCCAAAAATAAATAAATAAATAAATAAATATTTTTTAAAAAAATCTACAGATTGTTTGCTCATTTTTTAGTTGGGTTGCTTGTCTTTTTATTGTCACATTGCAAGAGTTCTTTATATATTCTGGGCATTAGATTTTTATTCAGATATATGTTTTTTTTTTGTTTTTTTTTTGTTTTTTTTTTTTTTTGCATTTCCCTAAAGACTAGTAATATTCAGCATCTTTTCATGTGCTTATTGGCCATTTGTACATCTTCTATGGAGAAATGTCTATTCAAATCCTTTGCTCATCAGGGCTTCCCTGGTGGCCCAGGGGTTAAGAATCCACCTGCCAATGCAGGGGACAAGGGTTTGAGCCTTGGCCTGGGAAGATCCCACATGCCTGGAGCAACTAAGCCCATGAGCCACAACTACTGAGCCTGCGCTCTACAGCCTGTGAGCCACAACTACTGAGCCTGCGTGCCACAACTACTGAAGCCTGCATGCCTAGAGCCCATGCTCCACAACACGAGAAGCCACCACAATAAGAAGACTGTGCACCGCAACGACGAGTAGCCCCCGCTAGCCACAACTATGCCGTGGAGCAACTAAGCCCATGCACCACAACTACTGAGCCTGCACTCTACAGCCTGAGAGCCACAACTACTGAGCCCACATGCCACAACTATTGAAGCCCGCATGCCTAAAGCCCATGCTCCACAACAAGAGAAGCCACCACAATGGGAAGCCTGTGCACCGGCAACAAAGAGTAGCCCCCGTTAGCCACAACTAGAGAAAGCCCAATGCGCAGCAACAAAGACCCAATGCAGCCAAAAATAAATAAATAAATAAATAAATATTTTTTAAAAAAATCTACAGATTGTTTGCTCATTTTTTAGTTGGGTTGCTTGTCTTTTTATTGTCACATTGCAAGAGTTCTTTATATATTCTGGGCATTAGATTTTTATTCAGATATATGTTTTTTTTTTGTTTTTTTTTTGTTTTTTTTTTTTTTCCTTGCGTTATGCGGGCCTCTCACTGTTGTGGCCTCTCCCATTTGCGGAGCACAGGCTCCGGACGCGCAGGCTCAGTGGCCATGGCTCACGGGCCCAGCCGCTCCGCGGCACGTGGGATCTTCCCGAAACGGGGCACGAACCCGCGTCTCCTGCATCGGCAGGCGGACTCTCAAGCACTGCACCACCAGGGAAGCCCTCAGATATATGTTTTGCAAATATTTTCTCTATTCTGTGAGTTGCTTTTTCACTTTCTTAATAGTGCCCCTGATACACAGAGGTTTTAAATTTTGACGAAGTCCAATTTATCTTTTTTCTTTGATTGTTTGTACTTTTGGTATCATAACTAAAAAAACCACTGCCTAATCCAGTCATGTATATTTGTACCCATACTTCTTTCTAAACTTTTATACTTTTAGCTATTACATGTAGGCCTGTGATCCATTTTTAATTAATTTTCATATGTAATATGAGGTAGGGGTCCAAATTCATTCTTTTTCCATGTGGATATCCAGTTGTCCCAGCACTATTTGTTGAAAAGACCATTCTTTCCCCATTGAATGATATGGCACCCTTGTCAAATATCAATTGGCCTTGGGACTTCCCTGGCAGCCCAGTGGTTAAGACTTTGCCTTCCAATGCAGGGGGTGTGAGTTCGATCCCTGTTCAGGGAGCTAAGATCCCACATGCCTCAGGGCCAAAATACCAAAACATAAAACAGAAGCAATATTGTAACAAATTTAATAAAGACTTTAAAAAAACGGTCCACATAAAAAAAAACTTAAAAAAAAATCAATTGGCCTTAAATAAATGTATGGGTTTATCTCTGGACTCTAAATTCTATTCCATTGGCTTATATGTCCATCTTTATGTCAGTACTATAGCTATTTTTTCAGTAGTATAATTTGAAGTTATGATGTGATGTAAGGACAGGGATTCATGTTTTTCATAAAGAGCTCCAGTTCTCCAGAACCATTTGTTGAAAGACTATCCTCTCTCCCACTGAATTACTTGGCATCTCTGTTGAAAATCAATTGTCCATCTAAGTGCAGGTCTATTTCTGGACTCTCTATCCAGTTCCATTGATCTATAACAAAGGTTGGAAAACTCCTTCTATAAAAGGTCATACAGTAAATGTTTTCAGCTTTATGGGTCACACGGTCTCTTCTCAATGACTAAACATGAAAGCAGGCCTGCACAATATATACAGGAATGGGTGTGGCTGTGTGACAATAAAACTTTTTTTTTTTTTTTACAGAAATATGTGGGTGGTAGGATTTGGCCCACACGCCAAATCTGACTCATGATCTACGTGACTATTTGTATGTTAATACTACTGTCTTGATTACTGTAGCTTTACAGAAAGTCTTGAGATCATGCAGGGCAAGTCCTCCTAGGATGATCGCTTTAAAAATTACTTTGATTATTCTAAGTTCTTTACCTTTCCATATAAATTCTAGGATCAGCTTGTCAATTTAAAAAACCTGGTATGATTTTGATTAGGATTGTATTGAATCTATAGATCAATTTGGGGAAAACTGACATAACAATATTGAGCCTTCTGATCTATGAACAATGTCTATGTCTCCATTCATTTAGATCGTCTTTAATTTTCCCTTGCCATGCAGTATTCAGTGTATAGGTCTTCAATATCTTTTGTTAAATTTATTTCTGTTATTTATGCTACTGTAAATGGCATTTAAATTTTTGTTTTAATTTTAAAAATAAAACTTTAATTAAAAATTTTTTTAATTAATTTTTAAATTGAAAATTTATATTTAATTGTTCACTTTTAGTATATAGAAATGCAACTAATTTTTGTATATGACCTTATAAACTGCAACCCTGCTAAATCTACTTATTAGTTCTAATAGCTTTTTCATAGATTCCTTATGTCTACATACATGATCATCTTGTCCATAAATAAAGAAAATTTTACTTCTCCCTTTCCAACCTACATGCCTTTTATTTACTTTTCTTTCCTTATTTTATTGCAAAGGACCTCCAGTACAATGCTGATCAGAAGAGGTGGCAGTGGGCCTCACTGTTTGTTCCTGATTGTACATGTAAAAGCACTGAACCTTTCACCACTGAATATAAATTTAGCTTTAGCGTTTTTGGTAGATGCTCGTAATCAAATTGAGGAAGTTCCCTTCTCTTCTTAGTTTGCTTATGACTTTTCTCATTAATGGGTGTTGTGTTTTCTCAAATACTTATGCTGTATTTTCATTTTGAAATAATTCCAAACCTACAGAAAAATTGCAATAATAATACAAAGAACTGCCCTTTCCCTCTCACCTAGAGACCCACATTCAAGTTGGCAACTGCCTGCACCGTATCCTTTGTAGAAAAGGATCCAATCCAGCAACACAGACATACTTAGCTGTCGGGTCTCCTCAGTCTCCTTCAATCTGGAATAGCTGCAGGCCTTCCTTGACCTTTGTGACCTTAACATTTTTGAAGAATAAAGCCTATTTTGTAGAATGTCCCTCGTTTCAGATTTACCTGGTGTTTCATGCTTATATTCATATTACGCATTTTTGGCAGACAATCACCAAAGTGATGTTATGCTCTTGACAGGTCAGGTGAGACACAATGTCTAGTGGTCCCATCACTGGTGATACTAACTTTGATCACCTGCATATGGTAGTGTACGCCAGTTTTCTTCACTGTAGAATTACTTGTTTTCCCTTTATGGTAGTATTTTGTGGGGAGATCTCTGAAGCTATATAAATATCCTATTCCTCACGCAACTTTCACTCACTAGTAAAACTTTTACTCACCATCCATGAGGATGTGGAATATTTACATACCTTGATATTTGTTCTCTGAATCAATTATTACTATGATGGTGGCCAAATGGTGAATTTTCTAATTCCATCTTTCTTCTGCATTTATTAGTTGGCATTCTCCTGTAAGGAAATGCTTTTCTTCTCCTCATTTATTTATTCACTTTTTTTAACATCTTTATTGGAGTATAATTGCTTTACCATGGTGTGTTAGTTTCTGCTCTGTAACAAAGTGAATCAGCTATACGTATATCCCCATATCTCCTCCCTCTTGCATCTCCTTTAAATTGAAAATTTATATTTAATTGTTCACTTTTAGTATATAGAAATGCAACTAATTTTTGTATATGACCTTATAAACTGCAACCCTGCTAAATCTACTTATTAGTTCTAATAGCTTTTTCATAGATTCCTTATGTCTACATACATGATCATCTTGTCCATAAATAAAGAAAATTTTACTTCTCCCTTTCCAACCTACATGCCTTTTATTTACTTTTCTTTCCTTATTTTATTGCAAAGGACCTCCAGTACAATGCTGATCAGAAGAGGTGGCAGTGGGCCTCACTGTTTGTTCCTGATTGTACATGTAAAAGCACTGAACCTTTCACCACTGAATATAAATTTAGCTTTAGCGTTTTTGGTAGATGCTCGTAATCAAATTGAGGAAGTTCCCTTCTCTTCTTAGTTTGCTTATGACTTTTCTCATTAATGGGTGTTGTGTTTTCTCAAATACTTATGCTGTATTTTCATTTTGAAATAATTCCAAACCTACAGAAAAATTGCAATAATAATACAAAGAACTGCCCTTTCCCTCTCACCTAGAGACCCACATTCAAGTTGGCAACTGCCTGCACCGTATCCTTTGTAGAAAAGGATCCAATCCAGCAACACAGACATACTTAGCTGTCGGGTCTCCTCAGTCTCCTTCAATCTGGAATAGCTGCAGGCCTTCCTTGACCTTTGTGACCTTAACATTTTTGAAGAATAAAGCCTATTTTGTAGAATGTCCCTCGTTTCAGATTTACCTGGTGTTTCATGCTTATATTCATATTACGCATTTTTGGCAGACAATCACCAAAGTGATGTTATGCTCTTGACAGGTCAGGTGAGACACAATGTCTAGTGGTCCCATCACTGGTGATACTAACTTTGATCACCTGCATATGGTAGTGTACGCCAGTTTTCTTCACTGTAGAATTACTTGTTTTCCCTTTATGGTAGTATTTTGTGGGGAGATCTCTGAAGCTATATAAATATCCTATTCCTCACGCAACTTTCACTCACTAGTAAAACTTTTACTCACCATCCATGAGGATGTGGAATATTTACATACCTTGATATTTGTTCTCTGAATCAATTATTACTATGATGGTGGCCAAATGGTGAATTTTCTAATTCCATCTTTCTTCTGCATTTATTAGTTGGCATTCTCCTGTAAGGAAATGCTTTTCTTCTCCTCATTTATTTATTCACTTTTTTTAACATCTTTATTGGAGTATAATTGCTTTACCATGGTGTGTTAGTTTCTGCTCTGTAACAAAGTGAATCAGCTATACGTATATCCCCATATCTCCTCCCTCTTGCATCTCCTTCCCACCCTCCCTATCCCACCCCTCTAGGTGGTCACAAAGCACCGAGCTGATCTCCCTGTGCTATGTGGCTGCTTCCCACTAGCTATCTATTTTACATTTGGTCGTATTCAGTTATTTTTTTATATCAGCGTGAATTTGCGGATTCTTATTTTATTTAATGGAGTATATTTATTATTTTATTATTTGTTTTGAAGCTCAAATTATGTTAGATTTAGCCAGTGGGAGTCCCTCCAAGCGGGTTCCTGTGTCCTATTGACAAGTCCCTCACATTCCTTACTTTCTTGTACAAGATGTTTCAGGATCATCTTGTGCTTTCTCAGGAAAAAAAACCCCAACAATCTTATCCTGCGATTTCTCTAGAATCAGCAATTTTCTCCAAGGAGCCCTAGTTCTTTTTAATGGAGAACAGTATTTATAAACCAAGATATGAGTGCTAAATGTGACCTTTACTACCAGTGTGGCACTGTTCCCAGGCCTTCTCAGTGGACAGAGCTAGGAAATATACATGCATATACGTACATACACATACACACACACTTTTATAGTTAAATTTACTTCTCTCTATATATGTATCAGAAACCATGCACTATACTAATAACTTCAATCCCTGTCCAGCACTATAGACTTCATTCCAATTTTCCCTGGCTTTCTTCTCTAATAGTGAGAAACCTGGCTCCCATTATCCTCAATATAGTTACTTATACGCTCAATGTTTTGCAAGCAACCAATCGCTTGATCACGTTGGGCTAACTGCCTTGCTCAGCTACCTGCCCCCCAGAGGCCCTGAACCCTGCCAGTCTATTCTCCTCGCTTGGGCCTGATTAATGATCTTTTGACTGATGAAGGAAGGAAGGAAGGAAGGGAGGGAGGAGGAAAGGAAAGAATGAGGGGAGGGAGGGAGAGATACTCTCCCTTCCCTATTGGAACAAAAATCCTAGGGAGGGAGGGAGGGAAAGACTTTTCTTTCTTTTTTTTGATATAATAAACAAGAGCATTACTGAACCTTAATGGCTGACAAATGAGTTTCAGATAGAAGAATGGATAAGAAGGAAAGAAAATATTTGGGACTGGTGTCCAGGCTAGGGCCCCTTAATGTATCGAAGAAGTAACCACTACCTTGGCTTATTCCCAGATCCCCCAGGAAGCCAGAGATGTCTCTGCTCATAACATGCAGGAGCTCAAGGACACATGTAACTGTGTTGGAGGTCAAACTGGGATGCAGATATGGGTGCTTTTCCTCCCCTTTTCTCAGTCTTTGGACAGAGTGCTGCCTCACGCCCCTGAATCCCAAGCCTCACTCTTCCTCCAACTTCTCCTTGGCAGAAAAGTATACAGTCATATAGCTTCACAGGTTGTTTTTTAAAATTTATATGTTTTAAAGGTATCTTAGCAGAATGCACTTACACCTTTATCTTCTTCTATAGATACACAGCCACAGAACCATTACCTTGAACCTTTGACTCCGACAAAAACTGATACAGGTTTGTATGGTAAGTCTGTTAGACGTTTTACTGGCGCCAGTTAGAGGAGGTGGGTTTCCATGATCCTTGTAGCAGCCAAGGTTTCCAGGCACTGAAGAAAAAAGAAAAACAAAAGAACTTTACAACATCTGGCTGTGAACACCAAGAGGGAAAAGCGTGTTGTGTCAGGTACTCTCATCTCAGCCAACATTTCCACTCCTAAGGTGCAAATGAATAACAAGCAATAAGCTTTAAAAATGGAAACCTTGGGCTTCCCTGGTGGCGCAGTGGTTGAGAGTCCGCCTGCCGACGCAGAGGACACGGGTTCGTGCCCCGGTCTGGGAAGATCCCACATGCCGCGGAGCGGGTGGGCCCATGAGCCATGGCTGCTGAGCCTGTGCGTCCGGAGCCTGTGCTCCGCAACGGGGGAGGCCACAGCAGTGAGAGGCCCACGTACCACCCAAAAAAAAAAAAAAAAAAAAGGAAGACTTAGTGTCCTCTGCTAGCTGCTATGTTTTTGTTTTATTTTGACGAGTGAGGCCCATATAACTAAGCCTAACAATTTTTTCACCTGTTCAATATTGATAGAATTTAGTATTAACGAGAACTAGGAATAACTTCCTAAAAACAGAGAAGCTACAATATGTAAATTACGTTTCAGAGTCACTGGACAGCAAAAAAAGCCCTCGGAAGCCCACCATCCTATGCGTTATGCCTCCCATTGTTTCTTAAAAAGCCCCGCAAGTTGGTTTAACCAGGTCCTTTGGTGAATGTATTAGTTTCCTATTGCTACTGGAATAAATGACCACAAATCTAGTGGCTTAAAGTAGCATAAATTCATTATCTTAACAGTTCTGGAGGTCAGATGTACTAAATGGGTCTTTTGGGGCTAAAATCAAGGCATCAGCAGAGCTGTGTTCCTTCACAGGCTCGAGGGGACAACCTGTTCCTTGACTTTTCCGTCTCCTAGAAGCTGCCCCTATTCCTTGGCTTGTGGCTGCCCCATCCCAGCCTCTGCTTGCACCCCTCTGCTTCTATCATCACATCACCTTCTCTGACTCTAGTCCTCCTGCCTCTATGTTACAAGGACCTGTGTGGTTACACTGGCCCACCTGGGTAATTCAGGACAATCCTCCCCATCTCAAAATTCTTAACTCGATCACATGTGCCATGTAAGGTAACATATTTAAAGATTCCGGGGGTTACAAAATAGACGTTTTGGGGAAGGAGATTATTCTGTTTACCACAGTGAACATATTAGTGTTTCACACAATCAGACGGTCTGGTCTAGTAGAAAAAGCTGCAACTGAGAATAAGGAAACCTAAATATATATACCAACTGTGGCAGACAGCTTTCAAAGACGGCCCTCCACGATCCCTACCTCCTGGTGTTCATGCCCTTGTGTGATCCCTTCCCCTTGAGTGTGGGCTGGAAGAGTGACTTGCTTTCGTCCGACAGAACGTGGCAAAGTTGATGGATGCCACTCCTGTGATTGGGTTACAAGAGACTCTGATTTTAGTCTTGCTAGTAGACTCTCTCTATCGCCCTCTCAGCTTATATACTTTGATAAAGCAACATATGCCCAAGATGTCATATGGCAAGGAACTGAGAATGGCCTTCAGCCAACAGCCAGCAAGGAACTGAGACTTTCAGTTTCTGCAAAGGCTGAATCCCACCAACAACTACGTAGGCTTGAAGTAGATCCTTCCCCAGAGGAACCTTCAGAGGAGATCCCGGCCCTGGCAGACACATGAGAGACCTTGAAGCAGAGGACCCAGCTAAGCCAGGCCCAGATTTCCTGGCCCACAGAAAGCATGAGATAATAAATGTGTGCTGGGGCTTTCCTGGTGGTGCAGTGGTTAAGAATCTGCCTACCAATGCAGGGGACATGGGTTCGAGCCCTGGTCCGGGAAGATCCCACATGCCGTGGAGCAACTACGCCCATGCGCCACAGCTACTGAGCCTGTGCTCTAGAGCCCGCGAGCCACAACTACTGAGCCCACGAGCTGCAACCACTGAAGCCTGTGTGCCTAGAGCCAGTGCTCCGCAACAAGAGAAGCCACCACAATGAGAAGCCCGTGCGCCGCGACGAAGAGCAGCCCCCGCTCGCCGCAACTCGAGAAAGCCCACGTGCAGCAACGAAGACCCAATGAAGCCAAATAAATAAAAATAATTTTTTAAAAAGTCATTAAAAAATGTGTGTTGTTTTAATTCATTAAATTTTAGAGTAATTTGTCATATAGCAATAGACAACTAACACACCTATATAACACATACTAAATATATGCTCATTGAATGAAGGAATGAATTTATTGTGAGCCATGGACAAATCAACCTCTCTGCCCCTTAGTTTTCCATCTGTGTTATTAACTTATGAATCACTTCACTATCAGATGAAGCCCTTTCACTACGTTCTCTGTTTGGCTCCTCACAGTTTACATAACTACAGCTACAATAAGACATGAATGAGGCCTGGTCCTAGAAGCACTTCTAGGTCAGTCAAGAGTTATACATTATCCAATTCCAAAGTGAGACATATAGATTCTTAGGAAGCACTTTTCCTTTATGTTTAAGACTGGAGAACAGCATGGTCCAGTTTAGTAAGCTTTATATCCAAACTAGGTTTGGGCATATAAAAATATACATATATATACATATATATATGTATACATGTATATACATGTATATAGGTATACGTGTGCATAATATATATATGTACACATACACACTTTTCCATTTCTGTCACCATCTACATCTAACCAGCTCATATATACATGTATATAGGTATATGTGTGCATAATATATATATATGTACACATACACACTTTTTAATTTCTGTCACCATCTACATCTAACCAGCTCATTTTAAATTGGCAGGAAGTTAACCCAAAGAGTCATCCTTCCCCCCTAAGCCAAGTGGTAACCCTTCTCCTTTGCATCACACATGGTTCAAATATAACAAATGTGGCTCACCACACAAATGTTAAAATGCATCTTTCGGAAACAAACCAAATCTCTATAGAAGCAAATGTAAACAGAAAAGCTCTAGGCAGTAGGAGTTCACAGTGTTCAGTGGGGGCCTAGCTTGGGAATGGCTGGATTTTAGAGTTTAAACAAATGCAGTGAGTTAAGTAAGCATCTCTAGTCGGAGGCATATCATATAAGCCAAGTTTGTTAAAGGGGCTTTACATATGGAAACCTGAGCCATGCGTTTAATGGTTTTTAATAAGAGCTACTTGATCGTGATCGTCTTGGTCATTTACTCTGATTTCTCTCTCATTTATTCCATTATGCTCACAAATAAGCATGATATTATGTAGTCATTTATAGACAGCCCAAGGCACATAATCATAAATGTTAAGATTAGACATAAACAGGGTCGTAGTTTGCATTGATGCAGCTGGAACCTATAAGCTTTATTCACAATAATTCGGTGAGCAAATCCAGGCAGCTCATGTTCCAGTGGGGCAGTGAGGTCCCAAAACGCACGGGGGAGGTAGATCACTGGAAATCAGACCACACCATGCTGCTGCTGCTCCACCCCTCTGAATACCCATGGCCTTAGGTATCATCCTTGACACCCAAGTCAATCGCTTGCCAGACACTGTCAATTCTACCTCCTAAAATATTGCAGACACCTGTCCACGTCTCTATCCAGCCTGCCATTTCCCCCGTTTAGGCCACCGTTCTCCCACTCAGACTATTCCATCGGTCTCCTATTCCACTTCCCTGCTCCTAGGCTCACCCTATTCTAATCTAGTTAGTACACTGCAAACAGAGTAATCTTTACAGTACATTCCAGGCAGAGGAAGGCCAAGGGCAAAGGCCTAAGGCAAGAACAACCTTGGCCTTTGCAGGAACACAAAGTAGTGAGTATGACCAGTGAAAGAGAGGGAAAAGCAGCAGGAGATGCAGAGGTATGCAGGAGCCCTGCCTAAAAATCTCAAAGCTCCCAGGCTGCCCTTCAGGATAAAGTCCAAACTCTCTCACATGGTACACAAGGTCCTGCCTGATCTGTGCTGTTCCCCTACCCCACCCCCATCAGCATGACCCCTCTCTCTATCCCTTGGCTCACACTCTATATGAAAGCCAAGATAAATCATAGTGCATCTTCAAGTTTCCCACCTGCACATTGCTCTATGGCCTCTGGACTTTCTTACAAAAGTCTGTTTCTTCTGCTTAGAATGCTCTTCCCTGCTTAAGATTGTAGCCTGAGCATCATTTCCCTTGGGAAGCCCCATGGGCCTCCCATCATCCTCCCATCCCACAAAACAGGTTATACGCCCCTGCTGTGTAGTCCTACAGCAGCCTATGCTAAGCTTGATTCTAAACACTTGTTTATGTGTCTCTCTCCCCAGTTAACCATGAACAACTTAAGGGTAGGACTGTACCTTCTGCCCACTTGTATTCCCAGGGCCTGGCATGGTCCTAGCCATACAGCAGGTGCTCTAAAACTGTGTGCTGAATGAACAAATGTGTCCCACATTGCCAGCTGAACTCATGGAGGGAGAGAGGTACCTCTTAGGCAGCAGGGAGTCGAGAGAGCAGAGCAGAGTGAAAGGCAGAGCTGATCTGCATCACGACATCCACTTACAGCCAGTACCCATTGGTTTTGACTCCTCTCTGTCCTCTCTGACTATCTGGAAACACCATTCCAGATAACCAAGTTCTCCATTAAAGGTTAACTTTAAAACTTAAAATTCTATCTTTATCATTTTGGATGAAACTTTTCTAAAATGCATTAGCTATTTTTTAAAAAAAACTTAGTTTAACTTACGTACTTTAAGTTTTTCTTGGTGGCTTGAGGTCACCAGATGTACGTCACCAAATGGTCCTAGACTGTGCTTTTCTGTATTCCTGTGTCTGACTTTAATAGTTAATCTGTCTCCGTGGTTACTGTTGGGGCAGCTGAACCCTCAGAACATTAGAACTGGAAGGACTCTTAGCGTCTACTTGCTACTGTTCATGCCTGTGGTCTTTGCTTATCCTCTTCTTAATTTTCTGCTTCTTAGGCTTAGAAGAAAACTATCGAGCTTATTAGAACTGTGTGGAAAATAACAGTTTCCGAAAGAGGGAAGGCCTTTACCACTTCCCACTTTCAGTCGTCCATA